AATGAAAAGAGATGGGCAAGGGGGGCACTGTGTTTGATTCAGTATATGAGCGATATCTTAGCAAATAGAAAAGATAAAGAGGTAATTATTTTATAGTCTAGCTTGTTAATATTGGTAGTTTGAGTTCCTAATTTGTACAAAACTGTAGATTTTGTATTTTTGACATCACAAACATCTAATTTGAACCAGTGCTACATTCATCATACCACATGACACACAAAAATCTATGTTTAACTGTGTTTTTTAAAACTTTTAAATTAAGAAATTAGCTGATGTATAATACTCAAATTTGAATTATAATCTACAATTTGATACCAAACTTACTGACATAAATTCATAAAATAATAGTTCAATAAAATTTTGAATGCAAGTTAACAAACGTGATGACATGGTTTTTGACGCGACCTGTCATGATAGGGTTAAGCTGATTCATTATAGAGCTCTTGTCTCCTTGGGAGATTTTTTTTTCACAAGAGAGAAATAAAATTATGAAAACCTATAACTCTCTGAACACTACTTTTTTCATACTAATGATAGTAGTACATCAAATAAGTTTTATTAAATAAAATAACACAATAAATAACATAGAATAATAATATGCAAAAAAAGGAGACAATGTCCCATAACTATCACAATTTTCCTGGCTTTTCTAGTGACGCAGTAAAATGGCATCCAGCTACACAATATCATTCCCGTGGGAGAAAAACATTTTCTTAGGAAGCGATCTACAAATTTCTGTACAGAAAACAAAGTAATATGACAGATGAAAACCTTGCCTGTCTATTGGTTATAATTAATACAGTCATAGTCATAAAAATAAGAAAGAACTACATGTATTGACAAATCCTGAAAAAGAGGATGTGACAGGTGGGCAATGCTCTGTAACCAAACAAGATTGAAGGCCAATAAAACTTTAATTTTTTTCCAGAGATGATGATATCATAGTGAGTAATTTACATTAAATTTACCAGCACCTAAATAAAGCACTTATATACCATTCACAGGGAAAAAACAATGCCTTCAGTTAAATATCTCCATATACGTAATGTTAAAATAACCCTTTTTAGAGCTGATTCATTCAGAGCTCTGTTCTCAGGAACCCTTCTTGAGCACTAAAAGGATGTTACTGGATATTTAAATGGGTGACCTTACCAGCTATAAGCAGATGAGCTGCCCTCAATACTTGAGTATTTCATGCATGATGGTTAGGCTTATGATACTCACTCAATTACATTGTTGCCATTTAGATTTGCATTTCCCTCTCTCTCTTATTATTACCAAATTTTAGGCAATAACTAACAAAGAATTCTACAAATATGGTTAATTAATTTTGAAGTATCTGTGTTTTTAATCATGTCTACAATATTTTGATTTTAGATATCTGCATGTGTGTCTTGAGCTTATTTTGCACTAACAACATTCTTCCAATAACAGTCATGCTGCAATTATTTGCTGCAGACAAAGGTACATAAGTCAAAGTATGTTACTGATTAGCATTGCCAAGTTGGTATATTTTCCATTTTAGGAGTCGCATTTTCTAGAGAGAATTTTTTCATAAAATTGAGATTAACAAAATGTTACAGCTTGTCGACAATAAAAACAGGGGATGTTGGAGTGATGGAATTAGAATTAAGGACTTTTCTAAAGCTTACTAATAAAAATTATTGATTTTGCACATTTTCAAGTACTGAAAAATTTGTTTACAAAGTTCCATGACTTTCCAGGATTTTCATGACTTGTGCAAACCCTATAGCTATGATTTAAGACACAACTTTAAACTTTAACATGTATTCCACACTTGTGGCTTAAGAATTTAAATTTAAAGCTAATAAATAGCATATCTCAATTTATTATTTATGTCCTCATCTGCATATGCCATGTCTATGAAGATTTAAAAATTTTTACTCAGTACTTTATTCCAAGTTTTGCCTGTTTATTCTAAATCTACCATACTCCTTTCTGACTTGGTTAATGGTTTAAAATTCAAAACAATTATCATTAGATTGAAAATACTATTGTATTATGCTCTTTTTCCATCACTTTTCAAACTTAACATCTGTTTTGTTATAATTAAGTTTAAAAAAAATACTGTTTAACAACATATTTAGTTAGCTTGGAGATGTATTAAGACCCAACAATTTGTTTTATACTAATAAGAGCTAACTATAAAAGCTATCACCAATAGATTAATTCTCTCAACACAGGCTAGGTCAATTTCACCAACCACGTGACCTATTTGTACTCGGTTTATAGTCTTTATAGGTTTAATACCTCTAACTTTCAATATAGTGTGTATATCTTTACAAAATTTGGCAGTCTTTCAGCTAATAGTATGTCTTTCACATACAAAAAATCATATTTTTTAGTAAAGCATTTTTAATAAAATAAAAATTTGTCCCTGAATATACCAAGTACTTGTTTTGAATAGTCCGTGTGCAAAGTAATTTTCATGTTAAAATTAAAAATACTTTTCCTCATCTCAAATTTCCTTTGTGCAATCCCCAAAACCTCCTAAATGCATTACAAAAGTTTTTTTTCAGTAAAACTTTATAGTTTATCTGTTATTTTTTCTACCTTATCTCAAAACTGAATCAGTCAAATTGACCATTCTCGTAACCACCAAAAAAAAAAATAAAA